AGTTACAGTGGAAAATTTTGAATATCATAACCAAAGAACACCACGGCATTCTAGTATGATTATCAATTTTCATTAGTCATGTTCGCCTCTAAGGTCCAGATATATGTATAAATACTACAGAGTCAGATTAGCAAACTGAGCTTCACCAGTGCGCCACAAATTAGCATCGCCCTCCTACATTCCCGTCCGAAACACAAACAACGGCAACCCCATCGTGGGGAAACGAGTTCGCATCTCATTGGAGAGCAACCAAGTCTTCTGCTTGTTTGGCACACAGTAACCAGACCATTACATATGCATGATTCACCGCCGACTATGCGAACTGTCGACAATTACATTCTCGTTCCGATCGGACAGTAAAACAGGCGCCACCCGGACTGCGAGCCGACAAGCCGGAGTTTCTCAACCGGGAAGACGTCTATCTCGACTTGGAGGCTGGCCCAATCGCGTTGACAGCTAGGAGGGATTGTCGGGGATGAAAATCGTGGTTTCGTATCCGGTATCCGTTATAAAAAACAATTTATTAGTGTATAACGAATATGTCGTTACGTTTTCACAATATATTTGAAGGAACCTTTGACTCTCAACCCAAGTGGAAAAAATACAAGATTTACGGATGATAAGTATTGCGGATGCTAAGCTTTCAATTGGGAAACTCTAAGATCCACAGCCCGAAGAGGTTTTCATTGAAATCGTAAACTGTTTAGGCCACGTTAATTAAAATTTCACGTTGATGAAACTGAGTTTAGGCATATTACTTGCTATAAAAACGAACACAAATTCAAACAGCTTGTTCATTGAATATGAAAATGATTTTCTGGAAACTCAAAGGCTGTTATGGAATGGAATATTTAGGTGTAACGATAGAAAATTAGGTGGAAAGAACATATTATAGAAACACTGACATTCAGGAACATGTTTTTCACATTGAGATATGATATATTGAAAATGAGTCGTCTTATACTTTGCTTTCAGTGAATCAAGAATTCAATACGGAGGTTTAGATTGAGGAAGTGTGTTAAATGCGCAACTTGAAAAACTGAACCTTATTTTTCAAAAATAATTTACAAAAAAAGTTATCCAAATGATAATTGTACTTTGAAACCAAAATATTTGATACAAGACAAATGTATTTACATAACATCACGATGTACATCTATGATCATATGAATAAACTTTCAAATACATTGAGGCACACCTATCAAGTGAGACAAAAAACTGGACCGCATATAAAAATGAATGCATCGAATAATAGGAATAGAAATAGAATGAAAATCTGAAAAAAATCATCATTAACTCAATCAGTCTATAAGAAAAAAAAATGAGATTTCATATCCATAACATTTATACACACAAAAATATCTGTTGTTTTCTGAATGTAAGATAATCATCACATTTCAGTAGTGTTGTCATTTATGTATCGAACTACGTTATTGCTAGTGCTCACCATTTTCCTCCACTTCAAACCTCATTGTGTAACTCTCTTTAATTTTTCGTATATTTTTCTCATGAGTTACAGCATATATTCCTTTATTTTAAATGTCTATTAAACTATAAAAATGTGCAAACGTTGAGGGAACATATGCTGCAAGCCTTGATAAGTGATGATTGGCAGATTGCTCTGAGCACTTACATCAAAGACTGTACTGATATTTGTTGATGTGAAACATTAATGCGCAACTTTGCCTCAATTTAACCATCTTTGTATCTCTTATAGTTTCCGAGATCCCAATGGTGAGGATCGAATTTTAAACACCCTGTATTATTGACAGGAACATCAAAAAATTGATGAATCAACTTTTTTCTAACAATGGTGGAATTTATTTTGAAACATTCTTTATTGATATTTATAATTGAAGATCTTCAGTAATATATTGCACTACCTTTCTAAGATTCTCGAGTTCATTAACTAGTATATTAAAGCCACATTGAAATTTTGTTTGTATATTTCAATTACATATTTTTTTTTTAATTTTTCTGTACACAACACTCATCACAGGGGTCACACAATATTCAAAACAATCATCATTTTCTGGAAAACATTCGTAATATACCTTTATCACATTATGCCATTTCAATTTATGTCGTTTATACATACTACTTGTTCAAAGTAATTTCGATTTTTCGCATCTGCCAGGTGTTCCGCGAGGGCTCCAATTTTTTTGTTAACTTTCAAGCACAACGTGGTGCAGCAAACAATAACTGGTTTTATTAGCGTTCATTTCTGGAACGTGGACTAATTATATGCGTCTCAAGTCGATATAAACAAATATGAACAAATATAGTTATTTCAGTTATTCGTCCTTTATGAGCTTGCGGAATAGGGGTGTTATAATGCAGTATCGTCAGAATCTCCAAGCTTCGTAAAATTATCCCGTAGGAGTAACTTCACGACAAACTGACCGCTATCATCGCGCTTAGTGTTTTTTAAGAGGTGATCTTCGACCTCTTGTACTTTTTTCGAGTATTTTTATTATTTGCTTGACACTTTTTTATATTTGCTAAAAGCGTTTTAACTGACTCTGTATTCGAAAATGATCTTTCTGAGAGGATAAGGTGCAAAATGAATTTGCATAGCATACACCCACCGGAATGAGTCATGGCCGATGGGAGAAATCGTATCTGCGTAAAGTTTGGGTCGATGTATGACTGATAACAGATTTCTACACATCTACTGCACATCTTGAGGGAGGCACTTCTCACCGGCCATGAGTCAGTCCGGCAGTTGTATCATATCTGTTGATACTCAATGATCCTGATAATATACACGAACAGCGTGGGGATATGAAACAGTAAGTGATACGAGGTCGATTAAATTAGAAAAAAATAGCACATTTTTGTGCCTAATATGCAATTAAGAAAGTTTTATTATTTCTAGTTGTTTCAGAAATATCCTAGAAAAACCGAAAATTGAGAAGTTCTTTTTTATTTCCTCCTAGTTTCATTGTCGAAGAAAATGTAAAACAAATAGCACTTTGCCGTGGCCACTTTTTAAGGACTACACAATAACGTGAGCAGAATTTTTCTGCGACGTTTCGTCGATTCTTCATTCCGAAAATTATGATAGTACACTTGATTCTTGATAAATCCCCAAAGAAAAAAGTCTAGTGGTGTTACGTCAGCATATCTTGCAGGCCAGGATATATCACTATGAGTACCAATCCGTTCTGGAAAGCGACGGTTCGAATAATCACAAACAATTTCAGCGTTATGTGCTGGAGCACCATCTTGTTGAAACCAGCAGCTGTGAGTAAACGCTGAAGGCAAATTATCTAGAGCGTCTTCCAAATCATTCACTGACAAATTTATGTACTGCTCTTTTGTTGATTTGTTTTGATAGATAAAAGGCCCAATTACATCCGTACCTACCGAGAATCCCAACTCACATGTTGAAATTGAAACGATGTTGATGTCTGGACACTTTGTGTATACGCGGATTTTATTGTGACCAATAATGAATATTCAGCCTATTAAAAATGCCATTGTTGATGATCTTAGCTCCATTAGACCAAATTATTTAGAAAGGGACTATTCATCGTCTTGGCATTTTCTAGTGTACCATTCACAAAAGGTTGTTCACCTTTCATCGTCACCTGGTCTAAGTCCATGACAAATCCTAAATTCATATGGATGATATTCATTTTTTATTAAAATGAAGTGAGTGGTGGATTTGACTACTCCGGTATTCAATAGTTCAATGGTGCGAGTGGATATCTCAGGATTTTCAACAACGGCCTGTAACACATCAGGCTGACTTTCTTCATTACATTGCTTTTGTCAGGAAACCACAGGTTTTTTAAATGATCCGTATTCTCTCAAATTAGGGACTCAACGTCTGAATATTGATTTACCAGGTTGTCGCCTCTCTGGATACTCTTTAGAGTACGCACGTTCAGCATCTACACAATTTTTTTGGCACAAAATATAACATGACAACATATCAAGTTTTTCAATATTCGAAAAGCTGCCGTTTTCCATTTTCAACACAAATTAAGTAGGTAACGAGATGTAACAGTAGGAACGGTAATACGTCAAAAATTCTACCAAACAACAGTATTATTATGACAACCAGAACATTATGTGTAATTTTTTCCAGCGTGTACTAACAAAAATTGAAGAAAAGCAGGTTAAGTAATCACTTTTCATTTTGCGCGAGAAATGGTTATGAAATCATATCGTTTGATACGGTGCTGTATTCACAAAAAAAATGGAGCCATATACAGGGTATCTATATCAGTGTCAGCCCATATAAAAATACAAAGTTGGTGATATTTTCTGAAAGACGAAACGTCGCAGAAAAATTCTGCTTATGTTATCTTGTAGTCCTTAGAAAGTGACTACGGCAAAGTGCTTTACATTTCCTTCGAAAATAAAGCTAGGAGAAAATTAAAACGAAATTCTCAAATTTCGGTTTTTCGTGGATATCTCTAAAACTACTTGTAACATTAAAACTTTCTGAATGGCATATTATGAGGCACATAAATGCGCTACTTTACTCTAATTCAATCGACCCCGTATCAATTAACGATTCCGATATCCCCATGCTGTTCATTCTTATCTTGGACAGTGAATATGTTATTTTAGTTTGAAACAAAATTGGTTCGGCTTTACTAAATATCATGATGCTAGTACATTTGTTCGCTCTAAGAGAATTTGGTTAGTTTCAATTGTTGATAGACATCCTTGACAGGATAATTCAAAATGTGGTATGGATATAATTATACAATCAACTAAAATTATCGAAAAAGTTAATCTTCCATTGTAAGTTGATGAATATATATGTACTGAACCTATGGTACGAAATATTAATAATATTAAGGATGCCACAGCGGATCGCTAGTATCGAATGAACAGTTCATTTGAAATATTTGAAATATTTCTCTTCAAGCTCAATAATTTTTTTCAATAACTTCATCATAATCTAAGAGTTAGAAAACAACCTCTAATGATAATTGGGCCACATCACTCCAGAAAACTTAATTACTTGTTTTCTTTTCCAGGTGACGTGCTTGAACCCATCACGGTCCGCGCAAAGCAATAAAACGGCGTCAAAACTCCCAGTCGAACTTTCAGCGAGCGACGAAGATGATTCTGAACAGGTGAGTTTCTTATCGTTTCCATCGGGAAAACGCGATCCACTCGTTCTGTTGATTATTTCATTTTATTTCTTGGTAATGCTTGAAGAGTCAAAAAAATGCTGATCGCGTGTTAGGTGCAATAATTCACTTTCGAGAAGTGTGATCAAATAATGCAGAAGTAGGTGGTAGGGGGCGTGATGACTCATTGTGTAAATCACTGTTATTTACTCGGTGAAGATGACTTCAATTATTGTTTCGACTGAAATTCACCTTTCATAACATCAGCGTGGAAACCACTCTAATGATGATTATTTTATCAGATACTGGAAGGATTCATCTCTTAAATAAATTTCATCCTGCTGAATAAGCTTTTGTTGCATGGTGGCGAACAACCTGCGAAAAGTTCAAAGGAATCTGATTTGATAACACAGGCCAACAAAATGAATATTTGTATGCTGAAAACGTATCTCAAAGCAGATTTTTTACCATCCACCATTCTTTCGCAATATGATATCGATTCAATACTTGAAAAAACATATGAAAAATTTTATATATACAAATTTAGAAAATGAAAAATCCATAAATTGGTTATATTTTCGCTCACATTCATATCTAATTACATGAATTATAAATAAATATAGTTTAAAAAACTAGAAAACACGCTTTTAAAGAACATCCAACTGATTTTTTAAATAAGCTTAAAACAATAACGAACGAAAAATACTAGTATTATTGTAAAAAAAGCGTGGGCGCTTTGTGCCATATTTTTTGTATATCAAGTGCCCGTCGCTTTTTTCACAATAATACTAGTATTTTTCGTTCGTTATTGTTTTAAGCTTATTTAAGAAAAATTTATTTTCAACTTTTTAGTTCGATGTTCTTCAAAAGCGTGTTTTTTAGTTTTTTAAACTGTATTTATTTTTCATTTTTTAGTTTTTTTATGCTATAAAAGCGTGTTTTTCAGCCTTTTTGGACTATATTTATTTTATCTAAACTTTGGGATCAATCAATGACTATTGATAGTTTTCGATTCCGGAGAGTGAGCCTGAAAATCAGCTACCAAGCCCAAGGCAGCAGGCGCGCAAAGGACGGTTACAAATAAGGCAGCAGGCGCGCGTGGTGATAAAAACAAAAACATTTTTCTAATGGAGAAATACATGTAAAGTGAGTTCGAATTATATCAAGGAGGTTACGTACAGCGTCATCTGCCCGCGAATAGATCGAGCGATAATGTCGACAAGTCTGTCAAATACAGAACCCGAGCTTGAGAGTTACAAACAAACAAACAAACAAATAAACATGCATATAGGTGAAGCTAATGAGAGCGTGATAAAAATCATTGGTAAAACTTCTTTTTTCAGGGGTATTTCTTAACGGTGATTGTTGAAACGTCATTCTCACAAGCTAACACAGTACTTTCCATTTTTCGGTATTACAGTGTGGATATCCACATAGTCAATCACAAAAAATTCCTCAATCGGATTGAAAACAAAAATGAACGAAACAGTTTTACAAAAAAATTCAAAATTGTAGTGATATCCGATGAAACCTGAATTGATCAGGAAATTAAAAAAAAGTGGGAAAACTCTCCTCTTTTCATATCATTTACTAATATCGAATCTCATTTTGCTTCTCTTGATATTCTGAAACTTTGATATTCCAATCATGTTTGAAAAACTTTTCGAAGAATACGAAGACACGTTGATGTTATATGTGAATGGGACAAGGTATCTTCCACTTTTCAAAAAAGGATGTCGATTCGCTATTCACTGTTTTTTTTCGAATGATTATACACATTTAATAGGAAATGTGGGAAAGCATCGTCTTGTTAGGAGATCATTTACTCATCGCAGTTTGCAGGATTATCCTCTATGATTTTGGGGTGAATCCAGGTATTATTCAAATTGATAAGGAAAAAAAATATCAGAAAGAAATTCTTAATACTCACCCACTCTTCCAATGTTTGAGAGTTTTGTATATGTAGATACTTTCATGGGAGGTGTTCAAGTGAATTGGCTCATTTCATTCCACCAAGAGCGGTACATATTAGAAATACGTGACTCAGAACACTTCGAACTTCATTGCTTAAGAACTCTTTTATTTGGAGAACTCCTGTATGTGGAATAAACTTTCTGAGGAAGTTTTTCCAAATGAATCACTACTCTCGCACAGGCAGAGCGCCTTAAATATTTTCCATAAATGAACCTGGGATTGTTATCGGCTGTAGGAAAACGAATTTTTCTCTGAGGGTTTTTAGTATTATGGAACTTTAACTGATTCATAGTGAAATGAATGGACAGTATAGGGTATCGATAATGGATGGTTCCTCGCAAATACACAGCTAAAATGAGATTTAATTATTTCTCTCAGTAGAACAGTACTAGCTTTACCATTGTCCGCTTAAAATGAGCACGGGCCACCACAATACAAGTTTCATTCAAACTTCTAGGCCCCACACAAAATTTGAATTGAATAATACGTGGCTGACAATGAAACCACGGGCTTTACTTCGATTAAACAAATCTCTCTTTCAACGCAAATAAATTAAACTGGTTTCGATATAAAAACGGTGGCGGTTTTTCTGTACATTTCGATAGGTGTGGATATTTTACACATATCGAGGATCGCTGTGGCAGTCAACCCATTATACACATATATGAAGTACATTTAAAAAATATACATTGATAAAGTAAACGTAAAATATGTAGAGGGAAAATACCCATGTTTTGCTATATGGTTCAGTAAGACAATTGTCAAAGAACTACACCGTTCAAATAGAAAATAATCTCACTTAGAAAACCCACTTTTAAAATAAAATAACAGTTTTTCTTGTTCTTCCACTCATACCGAATCTCATACCGATCATCATAAATTAGTTTTTTACCTTATTTTCCAGGATTGCAATCCGTTTGTTTCAGAAATACTTTCAATGAGTCCTCATAAAGAATTACCCTATACACTTTTATTTAAAAAATCATCTGAGAAATATACATCTACTAATATCTTTATGACACAGAAGTAAGCTATCGCTTCTATCAAAGTAAGACCTTTTATCCACCATCAATTTCTGCCCCATCCCTTTCTCTTCCAATATCTGTGCTGCCCCGAGAAAAGATTTTCGATATTGCCAACAGAACACAACAAATTCCAGTCGGTGAAATGATTTGATGGACGTCAATTTCAGCTGGAGCTATAGCCCCGAGAAAACGTCTTGATACCAGCGGTTATTGTCGTCCGCGCAAAGTAATGACTCCGTTGTCGGCTTTGTTTCGGCTCTTGCGAAATTGCAGGACTTTTGCTCAATGTGGAAACGGAGATTGCTGGTTGGAAAGTTTTTTTATGAAAGACGTGGGATGCTTCTTTCATCCGATAATACTGTATTCCACTGTAAAAAGTTTGTATAAATTAGGCATATGGACTCTATGTAGGACCATTTTAGTCGAAAAAACAAATCAGCGGAAAGACAAAATTTTACAAAATGAATTTTGAATTATTTTCACTCATTATACTCTTTGGAAGAATTGAAGAGAGCATTCGTGCTGAAAATACGTACTAATTGAAGACAAGGCTGAACTAGAAGGCATAAAGGCATAAACGGAGTCTACTGTTCAATATTTTAAGGTTTACTGGTATAGTATTTTTCCAATCAGGCAGCTAATGTTTTACGGGGAAAATATGTTCCCAAGATATAACTATACATAAAAGCGCATGTGCTGCCATCTGTTCGCCAATATAGGAAGCATCGTTCTTGCGCAGAAGTATTAGGTTGGAAATTATTATCCCAATAGTTCATCAAAAAACGTACATTTTTTGAAAGTTTTTTGTGAAATTGAGATATGCATTTTTCTAAGATGTCTAAATAAACAGTGATGTGTAGCTATTTTCAATTATGGTTATATTCACTATTGAATATTGATCAAGCACTTGTAATGCACTATTTGCGACCTTTGGTGTAGCAGTGAATATAACAACTGGAGTTTTTTCCCAACACCAAACCGTTAATTTAACATCTCGATCATCTTCAAGAGGAGGATCAAATTGATCTTCCTCTTGAAGATGATCATTTGGTAATCGAAACAAGTGTGTGTCGAGATGTTAAAATAACGGTTTGGTGTTGGGAAAAGATAAAATCCCTCCATCATAGTGGATGAACAAACACTCATGAAAGGAAAATTCAATCGAAAACGGTTAACGTTTCAATTGAAAATGAGATATTTTCACGAAAGTCCCTATTTTTCAAACACAATAGTGAATATCTGTTCACTCAACTGAAGTTGTCAATATAACACTGTCGGAAAACCGAAATTGATGTTTTAGTTTTGGAGGCTAAATTAATATTTTTGCCTCAACAAAATGGCCTCTTACTATGTGTGAACTTATTTCACACTCAGTTACATACGAAACGGCCACCTTGAAATGTTAATGAATTTTCATTTCAAATAACGTATTTACTATCAGCACGATTTTGATGGGAGGAAATTCATACCAGATCCATTCACATGGAATTGATGATACTCAGTTGTATATATCATTTCATCCAAGTGAATACTCACAAGCCAATTCAGCTTTTAATTATTTCTACGAATATTCTACGGCTGTATTATTTGTGAAGAAGGCTGATCGTTTGAAAGTTGTCGACGCAACCATGGAACATAAAATGATTATTGAAAATAAAAATATTTATTCGATGAATTAGGTAAAAATTTTGAGGTGTACATAGATACAGATTCAAGATATACGAAACACTGTTATGCGAAATTTTAGTGTTATCAAACTATTGTGATATACTCTATAGTAATAATCTCATCAGTTTAGAGAAAAATGTGATTAAAAGAATTCAGATTCAGATTTAAATTCAATTGCATTAGATTGATATTTGGAGTGAAAAGTTATGATCATATCAGTCATCTATATGAGAAAATCAAGTATTTGAAAATGAAACAATGCAGATACGAGTATATATATTCTGCATCGATGTTCTTCAGAATACTGGAAGGAAAACCGTGTGGAATCTTTCAAAA